CATTTGCCTAATTAATTAAGAGTTGTTTTTGTGCAAGAGGTTTTTGTGAAAAAGGTGCCATCTACACAGCACCTTTTTGCACAAAACCCCCTCTTCCACAAGAGCCATTCTTCCTGGAAAAATGAGGAAGAATAGCTCTTGTGCAGAGGGTGTCCTTGCACAAAAAGGCACTGTGTAGATGGCGCCTTTTTGTGCAAAAACCTCTTGCACAAAAATGGCTCCTAATTAATAATGCAAATGAAGCGTGGCAATATGCTAATCTGCACTTCATTTGCATAGGCTTTTGCGGCAGAGGGAAGCTGTGTAGATGTAGCCCCAGATAAAGATGGAGGGGACCATTCAAGGTGAAGTGGAACCAGAGCCTCCCTATGGATAGATCTTGATTTGCAGCATTGCCTCTAAATCCCACAACGATCTCAGTAGAATCTCAGTGGGCAAAACTCCTGCCACTTCCCCATGTGGTGAGTGGGAAGGATGGATAGACCAGTCCAGCTCCCATTCAGTCAGGCTACGTCTACATTGTAGATTTCTTGCGCAAAAAGCCTTTAGCACAAGTGTTTTTGCGCAAAAACTTATTGCACAAGAGCACGTCTACACCTCAAAGCACATCACAAAAGCAATGTGCTTTTGCACAAGAGTGTCCACACTGCACAGATGCTCTTGTGCAAGAAAGCTCTGGCCATTCACAATGCTTTTTCCCATAGGGGTTTCTTGCACAAACCCCTGCAGAACATCCACACTTGCTTTTTTGTGTAAGAACTCGTGCACAAAAAGAGTTATGCCTCGTAAAGGAGGTTTACCTACACCAGAAAAAGCCCTCTGTTCTGCCATTTTACTGATAATTTACTTGCGCAAAAGTGCATTTGAGGTATGGACGCTCCACAGGTTTTTACGCCAAAACATCCGTTTTTGTGCAAAAACCTTGCAGTGTAGATATAGCCTCAGACACTGATTTTTATTGCTTGCTTTTCTCAACATGGAAATTTCCTTTGTTTGCTTGCTTCTTTTCAAAGAAAACGTTACAAATCTAACTATGTGGCTTGCCATGGGCTGAGTGCTGCTGTCACTAGCTGAGTTACAGTATCAGTGGTTCACAGAGATGGCCTTAATATACCTGTCTTCAAGCAAAAGTTGTTTTGACAGAAGAGCCTTGTAAAAAAAGTTACCATGGGTTAGGTAAACACAAAGAATGAATCCAGGCCAATTGGTGTACATCAGCACAGCTCTATTGCTTTCACTGGTGCTATTCTGATTTACACCAGCTGAGGATCTGGTCTGAGGTTACTATTGTCTACTGATTGCAAAACTTTTTGCAATGTGTAATTTAGATAAAAACCAACAATTTGGTGCTCACTTTATTAAATACTATTTAACAGAACAATATCTAGGGAAACATAGGCTCCTCTAGTATAGAACAGCATTTCCCCTCACTGTCTTTAACAAGATATTCGTGTTAAAGACAGTGACACCATTATTCTAAAATTATTAATTTCTCTTCTGGAGTCCATATAGCAGGAGTCTGGTAAGGGGTTACAAAATTTTAAATCGATAACTCATTCTTTGAAATCCAGCCCAAATCAGCAGTGAAATAAAGTTATCTTCTAATGTCTGTTCAGTGACCTACGTTAAGAGTTCTCAACCCTGGTCCTCATGCACGCTGTAGTTTTGGTGTATGCATGCATCACAAAGTGTAGGTATAACATGGTTACAGTATGACTGTATATAACCTTTCATGTACATGTATCCTTACTGGCACTTGTTTAAAGATGTGATTTTAAATTAGTTGAGTGTCTAAAGGAAGTTAAATTAAATCACTATAAATCAAATTTAAATCTAAGTACAGGTTGAACCTCTCTAGTCCAGCACCCTTGGGACTTGACCGGTGCTGAACCAAAGAATTTGACAAAACACAGGAAGTCAATATTGTCTAGTACAGGGGTGGGCAATAGACCTCTCGCAGGCCAGATTCAGCCCTCCAAGCCACTGGATCTATCCTGCAGATGTTCCTCCTGGGACCCTCAGGCATGCAGCATCCACTGTTTTAAGCTCAAGGCTGCTCCATATTCTCTACTCCAGAGGGAGGGGAAGGCTTCAAGTGATCTCCCCACACCCAGCCCAATCCTCAGCTCCTATTTGTTGGAATCAACTGGCCAATAGGAACTGCCCCTAGCCAATATCTCATCTCCTATGGGCCAGAAACAGCCAGCCAATAGGAGCTGAGAGATTGGCCTGGGATGTGGGGACAGTGCAAGTCTCTCCCATCCTGGAGCTGAGATCCATGTGGAGGGAGCATTTTCAATTTTTCAGTTCAGGGAGTCTGCATTTTCAATGCTCTGGGGTGTAGCAGGCAGAGACCCCAGCCTGCCTTGGGGATGCAGCAGGGCTGCTGGCTGGGAGATGCTTAGGTAAGTGCTTCCCAGCCAAAGCCTGCCTCTGGAACCCCTGTCCCTCCCACACCCCCAACTCCATCCCCAAGTCACCTTCCAAACCCTCTGCACCCCCTCCCTGCCCTAGATCACAACTCCCTCCCAGACACTGCACCCCCCCTTCTCCCAGGCCAGAATCCTCTCCTGCTCTCCTCCCTCCCTGCCCTTACACCTCAATTGCCTGACCCAGGCCACAACCCTCTCTTTCACCCAAACCTCACACTGTCTCCTGCAACCCAGTCCTTTACCCCATACGCCCTTCTTCTCCCAACCTCCATCCTAGACCCCGCACTTTCCCCACAGAAAACTGCAGCCTTTGAACACTTTCCAAAATCTTCAAGTGCCCCCCCACCAAAAATTAGTGCCCACCCCCGGTCTAGCAGCATTGTTAACACTTCCACTGTTTACTGGGTTCTTAGATGACATTTAGGGGTAAAATAGAGCTAAATAAGAGCACAGAACACTGAGAGCCAGGACTGGTGGCTGCTAACAAACTTTGTTTGTGGGAAACTTGGCCACACTCATAAGTGGACATCTGTCCAAGTAAAAATCATGCCAGCCCAAGGATGTTCCCTGACCAGATGGTGCCAGATTAGAGAGGTTCAACCTGTAACAACATTCATACAGATTTATGCACTAGTTTAACTGTGACACTGCTGCCAGACAGAGTTGGCAGCAACAAGCGTGGGATTCACTATCTAGGGGTTCCTTAAGTCAACAATACCCCACAAAAACTGGTTCAAGGCCCCCCCCCCCAATGATCTGGGATAATGACACTCCACCCGCTGGGTACCACTAAGAGGCACTACTTTCCCTTTCACAAGAATCAGAGGGTAGCATACTATAATATGATTAACTCAGCATTAATTCGGGAAATTGCCACATGTAGGGTTCATAAACATAAATCATGAGCCCCAAAGGCCCACCCCAAGTAAGCTGGGCAGTGCCCTTTACCATCAGGCTCTCAGCTCAAGCAGCCCCAAAGTCCCTCCAACATACCCATCTCTTCACTGCATCCCATTCACTGTTGCCATCCTTGGTCAGTCAACCCCAGAGTTCAGAAGTCCATCGGCATCGTTCACCTCCCAGTTTGGGTTGCAAGGGGCTAAGGAGGCACATATGCCGTTGCTCAGGCACTTACCAGCCGTCCTGTGGGCCACACCACTCCTTGCTAGCCACCCTGCTGGCCATACCACCTCTCACCATATGTCTTCAGGGCCTCCCTGTACTTCAGCTCTTAGTGAGTTCAGCTGTTAGTGGGGGAACCTCACGGCTGGTGCACACTAGACACTCTTTTTGCATCTGAAACACTATCCCAAAATAGATCTCATAGTAAGACCTAGGCATCAGTGACTTAAGCTCGGTAGCCTGCAACAAGACTCCCAATTGAATCTAAGTTACCAGCCATAGGTAGCCCAAGGCCCCCTGACCGCCTGCTGGCCCAATTGTCACTGTTATCTGGTTTTTGTCTAGCATCCAGGGCCATTGTTATTCCAGCACCTCTGGAGGCCCTGGAGCCTTTGAAGACAGAGTTTCACTCTCAAGGATTCTCTCTCCCAAGGATGTCAGAGGCAGTAGGGGGGGGAGAGAGAAAGAGAGGGGAGCGGTTTCTGTCTGGCTACACCCCTCCCCATTCGTACCATGAATAGGAATATAATTAAACAAAAAAGACCATTTTAAAATAATGTTGGCCAAAATAGCTAAGCTCTTGTGAGAGCCTGAAAGTTTGTCTCAGTCTAGAGTTTTATTTAACAATCCAATTTTTAAAACAAAGTTCATGGTTACAGTAATAAGAGATGATTGCAAAGTCACCGCTTCTAAAGGTTATGGGAGCTCTAGCTGTGCCCTCTCAACTGTTTCAGCCCCAGTGCCAGTGGATCTGGATTTTAAAATAATTCTGTTATACATTCCAGGCCTTCTTTTCTTTCCGTGCTTTATATGTTATGGGAATGCATTTTTAGAGCAGTTATTATCTAAAATACAGTATTGCTACCCCTTTGGATCAGACTGGGGAACCAAGTTGGTGGTGCTGTGAGTTGTTCCAGATAGGAGAAACTGGTGAGTCAGGTATTTCTTTGCAAATAAACACAATTGTGTCAATTTGCAAAGAATTGCAAAGCCCTATTTGCCTGAACACAGAAGGACTTGATCAATGGGTGACAGTGTCCATGTTCTCAGGTCCAGGCCTTTTTCAGTCAGCACCAACCCAAAGCCTCTCTCTAGGGCCACACACTGTGCTTCCACGTTGTACCTGCTTAGCTTTCTTTCAGTTTTTCTCTCTCTGTCCTGCTTTTACACACACATCCATTTTCCCAAATAAACATCTGCTACATACACTTCTGCACAGCCTTTACCCAAACAATGCAATGGCCAGCAAATACCCTCTACCAATAGTTCCTATTCCTGAGTGACCGCACATATGCGTTGGATTAGGTAACATGGCTATTTAATTGACTCACAGCCACCTTCAAGGGCACTGCTTAAACACGACTTATGACAACAATGTTGTAACCCAAGCCACAACTGGAAAAAATAAAATAAAGAGCACACACACCTAAAGCACATAGTTACAACCATTTTAATTGGAATTATATATTTTTAAAAGTACAACTCAAATTATTTCCATCACAAATGTTATGAAAGTTGAAAGGAAGCACTTTCCGAGCTAGTTTTTTAAAAATACATAGTAACAGCAATTTTAGCTTTCGACTCAGTATCAAACATGTAAATAGTATATTTAACGCAGTCTTTGCAATGCTTTACTCAAGCAGCTGTTCACTTTCCTTGGAGTCCCAGCTGCTGATACTCTGGTGCCAATTTGCATATGAGTGGTCTCTGTGTATTCTGTCTGTTAAGGACCTATCCAAAGCTCACTGAAAACAATCACCATCTTTCCACTGGCTTCAGTGAGCTCTGAGAAAGTCCCTACATGGGGAACATGAGTTCTCTTAAGTGCTAGAGAAGCACCAGCAGGCAGATTTAAGAGTCAGGCCTGAGATATGAAATGGCGAGGTTGCTTATAACTGAACTGTTACCTAAACGGCTAAATGTCAATATGCATTCAACGGTTGATTGCCTCTGTGGCCCCATCCCCTTCCTCAAACCCCAGGCAGGACTGTTTATTGGGGAAGGTACCCAGAAGGAGGAGAGAAGTCATAAGAACTGGCAAGCTGGAAAAGAATTTGAAGGACTAAAGGAAAGGTACATCAACCTCCCATGTATATTACTCATGCATATTATCCAGAAAGGAAAATACACACTGGGCTATGATACTTTAATTCACACTCCTTCTGTACAATGTGAAATTCCTGAAAGGGGGCAGACATGGCATGGGGAACCCCTCCTAGCTCTCTCCAGTGGAGTTTCACTACAAGAAGTGGCAAGAAGGGGAAAATTACTAGGTCCACAGAGCTAATACAGGCCTTTGTGCCTCTTGTAGCTTCTTTGCAACCAGCAAAGTTTAGGACTAAAATCAATATCCATTCTACAACCTGCAGACCCTGCATCTAACCCCCCTTCCCTCCCCCCTGCCCATGAAATTCTAGGAGAAAATCCTTATGTTCTCCTTCCCACAGGTATCTGTGAGAAGTCGTCAGGTAGGCCAACATTAGCAATTGTTTAACACCTGCAAGTTAGTTTTCAAAAGTACAAATGAATTGAAAGTAGCATGTTAAGCCACAAAGTGCTGCTGAAAAGGCCTCTAAATTAAAGGGGATAGGAGAAGGAATATGGAGGCTGAATGTACCAGGGGACCTGGAATACAGTAAAAATAACAGCAAATTAATGTATCAGTATATTTATATATTAATGTAACAATATATTGAAAACTGTATAGGAAGTGTTTCTTAGTCTTTCCTCATGCTTTTTGTCTCCTACTTTTCATAGTGGAAGAATATGCTGCATACCATATTCCACAGCCTCCCCTAACTTCAGAACATTGATTCTTTAAAATGACCTTTTAAAGAGGAAAAGAGCCATTCAGTAAAAACAGCAAGGCCTGCCAGGGTGTGAATGAGTAGTCTAGTATTACATTTCTATTGCACGCAGTGTGGGAGCAGCAGTGTACAGTAAAATACATAATAGATCAATACAATTTACAAAACTGTGAAATAATCCATATTTTCAAGTTACAACCTTGTCAGCTACAATAAGAAATTAAAATATATTTACATTGTACATATAATGAGAGGAAGTGATGAAGTGCCATTTTTTGCTTTTACCAGTTCTCTTCTGAAAATGAAAAGTGAGTAAGTAATATTAGACAAAACATGGGTAATAAATAATTAAAAATAGCAGAACTTTTTTCTTTTTCTTTGTCCAAGAATATTTAAAATAAAGGCTAGTGATATGGGAAGCAGATGGAAAAATCTACAGCACATTTAGGACTCAATCCAAGATTCCTTACTTAGGATTACCTCATACTAGATGCAATGGAATTTTTGCCTGAATATGGAGTATGGAAATGGCTGAGAGCTCTTTATATGATCTCTTCTTGGACAGAGGGTTCCTCTCATAAGTAAAGGCTGCAAGATCAGACCTTCAGTCCCTGAAAACATGCAAGGAATGGGGAAAGACCAATTGGAGATTAGAGTATTGTTTGTTCGTTTAATTGACAAAACTGCCTCTAATACCATGAAGAAATGTCCTTAAAAATTAATCCAAATTTAATTGGTCTTGGTTGATATCAAACACCCAGTGTCTGGAACACAGCAAGGAACATAATTGTATGGAAAAGCAAAACAAATCATGGTTGAACCCAATACTTTATGACTTTGGACTGTCGAAAAATTAAGGAATCACTGACAACTGCGAGAAGCATCTCCATCAGCCAATATGATTTATGCCCAGGCAATCAGAATTTCGGGAAAAGAGTCTCACACCAGGAATACAGCACAAGTTGGCACAGTTTCACTAAAACGTGAAATAGTTTGTAGGTTTCCTCAAAAATTTTGCTAGTTTTTCCATGAAAACATAAAGCATTTCCACAAAACAAAAATACCTGCCACTATACAGCAAAAATGTTACAATAATGGAAAAAGACATTTCATTTGCAAATATGGCAAAATTTTGTTTACAAGAAAATATGGAAAATTATTTAACTTAAAGGGCAACATTTTTACTCTGTTCACAGGGAGAAGTTGAGATTGCTGGCAGAAAAAAAAAAGTATGCCAGATTCCCCAATACAAAAATCTCAGTTTGCATGTGAAAACCCTGGTGAAAGGAAAAACCACCATTTCTCTAGCCCCTACCAGCATTGTGTGTTGTTCACATTGTAGTACATTAGCATTGTGGTATAATCTGGGGTTTTTAAATCAGTGGATAATCCTGATACTGATTTTCCCTTATAGGTGAAAATGTTTTATATATTCACAGACATTTTAATCTGTACTTGAAATCAATGTCATTAGTTGGTTGTAAAATACCCAACCCTGCTCGGGATTGGTCTAAAGACGGACAAGCCACGTTTTTGTCAAGAAGCTCAATTTCAAAGTATGAAAGTACCAAAATCAAAAACTGTTTGATTTCATGGACAGCAAATAATCTTCCAGGACATTTTGCTATTCCTGTTCCAAATGGCATGTAATAATATCTTAACTTGTGACCGTTGCGATAGAAGTTAGTCTTTTCTTCTCCAGTTTCATCGAGATAGCGATTGTACTTGAATGTCTGTAACAAAAGTTGAATTTCTGTTAGCGCCAGATTGTGCATTAAGGAAGGGAGGGGAGGGTGTGCCACCACAATGACACCACGCCTCCTGGGAAGAGCAGCCAATGCACAGTATGCTTCTGCTCTGTGGCTGGCCATGCCTCCAGTCCTCCAAACCCTTTTGGGAGAGGTTAACTCCTGCAAGCAGCAGGCCCTTCAAAATGAGCAGCTCTTGCACTTGGTGTGGCAGAGTACCAGACCTTGTAGAGGAGCACCAACATTAGAAAACTTTTTTGCCTTTTACCAACTCACACAAACAAAAATGAGAAACATGTATCCAAACTGGAAGACAGTCCCTTTTCCCTCAGTACAGGGTGAGCCTCTCTAGTCTGACACTATCTGGTTTGGTAACATCCATGGCCCAGCATGATTTTAGTTAGTCCACTTGTGTGTGTAGACAAAGTTTGTTTACAGACACCAGTCCTGGCTCTCAGTGTTCTGTGATGTTATTTAGCTCTAACTTTACTTCTACATGTCTTCTGAGACATTAGCAGTGGAAGTGTAGGTAATGCTGCCAGACAATATTGACCACTTGTGGTCTGTCAAATCCTCTTGTTTGGCACTATTCAGATCCCAAGGGTGCCGGACTATAGGGGTTCAACCTGTACCACAATATGTCCTCAAGGATTCCTTCTTCTCTTGTCCTCACTTGACATAACACAGCATGGTGCTTTCTCTGCCTGAGGAAGGCTAAAGAGAGCTTACTTTAAACCTCTCAGCCTTAAATTTTTGCTCAGCCAAAATGTTTGCTGCCGAGTGAAGCAAAGCCAGTGCTGATTTTGCTGACTCCATGGCATTCCCAGCCTTGTCTGTTCAGGGAGTTATCAGGCATCAATCCAGGATCTGTATGGTAGAGTGAAGCACCAACCCCAGGGGCACGTAGGTCATAGTAGGCAGTTACCAATCACCCTGTTCCAGGAGATGTTATGTAATTTTAATTACTCACCAAGGGGTCAGGATAGATGTCTGGATCAAAGTGCAGCAGCTGAGGATAAAGAGCTACAACGTCATCTTTTCGGATGTTGTAAGAGTCATTATCCAAGTGCAAAGTGAAATCCTCGTTAGCAACCCTGACAGTCATGGATGCACTGGACAGCCTCATGGCTTCCTTGATAATACTATCTGTAGAGAGAGAAAAAGAAAACAGTTAACATGAAAAGAATCTAGGTACCATATCACCTGGGGGAGGTGCACAGACTAAATTGGCTGTAATCTTCTATAACACCAAATATTAAGAGAAGGAAAATGCTAACACAAATAGAGATAAGAGAACTGCATAAGAGGTTAATATAGAGAATTTTCCTAAATTTTGTCTTCTACATTTCATTTGATGTGGAATCTATCCAGTGGCGGGAGGGATTATAGAGGCTCTCAGAGGATCTTCTCTATCTCTAATTCTATCCTTCTAGTTTAAAGAAGTACTAATAACTTATTCATAAATTCATAGACTTAATGGACCAAAAAGACCATCAGTGATCATGGTGACCTCCTGTAAATTACAGGCCACAGAATTTCATCCACCACTTCTGCAATAGGCCCATAAACTTTGGTTGTGTTCCTGAAATCCTCGAATCTTGATTTAAAGATGTCAAGTTCTAGAAAATACACCATTTACTCTAGTTCAACGTAGCAAGGGACCCGGTGACCCACACTCTAGAGGAAGGCAGAAAACCCCAGGGTCTCTGACAATCTGATCAAGGAAGAACTGCAGATATGGCAATCAGTTAGACCCTGAGCGTATAGACAAGACCCACCAACAAGACATCTGGGGAAGAATTCTCTATGGTAACTCAGAGCCCTTCCCCTCTAGTGTTCCATCTCTGGCCATTGGAGATATTTGCTAGTAGCAGAAGCATATGGGCCATATCATTGTAGACACTTCATCATACCATCCACTCAATAAATATATCGAGCTCAGTCTTGAAACAAGCTAGGTTTTCTGTGCCCACAGTGCCCATTGAAAGGCTGCTCCAATACTTCACTGCTCTGGTGGTCAGAGTGATGATTCACTGTTACCATGGGAAGGGTCTCTGGATGAACCAGAGAAGAAGCTAAGAGGGATTCCAACGCCAAGGTGTGACACAGACAGAAGTACAGGGAACAGGGATAGAAAATGACCTAGTGGGCAAGAATAAGTACCAGACTTTAGGCAACATATATGATCTCTGGATCAGGACACAGTGGAATAAAGTTAGCCCAGGCTCTTCTACCCCCACTCTCTTGGGTCTGCTAGGCAGAGCAGCCCTCTAGCCACTAGACCAAGTGGCCATGACTTTTGGCCACTGCTTTGCTTTTGGCAGTTGTCACTTGTGCCCTACACTACAGTTCATGACTTTCAAGAGGTAAGAACATAAGCATGGCCATGCCATCTCAGACAAATAGTCCATTGAGCCTAGTATCCTGTCTTCTGACAGTGGCCAATGCCAGATGCTTCAATGGGAATGAACAGAACAGGACAATCATCAAGATATCCATCCTCTGTTCTCCAATCCCAGCATCTGCCAGACAGAGGCTTAGGGTCACCACAACATCCCTTATCCTTTTGGCTAATAGCCATTGATGGAACTGTTTTCCACAAACTTATCTAAGTTCTTTTTTTGAATCCTACTTTTGTCCTTCAGAGCATCCACTGGCAATGAGTTCCACAAGTTGGCTGTGCTTTATGTGAAGTAGTTCCTTTTATTTGTTCTAAACCGATTGCCTGTTAGTTTCATTGGGTGACCCTGGTAGCTTTTCTTGCTGAGCCATCCCTAGGCTCTTTGTTTTCTCTTATTAACCTGTTTCCAGTGTTTGTACATTCAGTTTGGTCTGCAACCTTTCTATGAGTTTTTCCTCCTTGCTTGGGATGCAGGCTCTAGATAGTTTCTGCATCTTAGTCTTAAGTAATTCCAAGCCTCCTCCACATTCAGATCCTTGAGTTCTTCATCCAGTCAACTTGCCTAACTAATTATTTTAATATTTTTAACTTTTCCCTTTTGAAATCAAGGACCTTATTTGCAAATATATATTTTGTTTATCATTTCAACCTCAAAAACCAAACAATCAACTGTCCTGAATCACCCTTCCCAGGGAAACAAACAAGGAGGGAGCTGGGTAGGGAAAAAACTGATCACTTTTTAACCTCTCCCCCCCCCCAAAAAAAAAGTTCTTTAGAAGGATTAGCCTCATGGTGGAAAAGAAAATGGTTCTACAACCTGAAGTTTCAGATTGCTCAATATGCAACCCCTAACCCTACCTACAGCTCTTGCCTACCCAACCACAAAACCAAAAAAACCTTACTTCGAATTGTCTATCGATCCCAGAGGTTGTATGACATGGCACGTAAACCCATGAAATTACATGGGAAAAATGAAATTCATTTCAAACATAAGATTTTCCCCATATTACAGACATGAGGACTGCTGAAATATGTGGCCTTTGCTAACTAAGAACACAGAGTTGCTTTATTATCCTGCTGTTTGCTGGTCATTTAGCATTTCATAGAAAGTTTTTTTTATTGACTATAGATAGAACAGTATCTGAAAGTGGATGGTACTGCTGCATATGATGACCATACCTAATACTGGCATATTATCCATTTGTTTTCGATCCAAGGAGATATGTTTGCCGTCTAAAGTGATCTTTTCACCAGCACTTTCCAATGTTTTTTGCAACTCTTCAGTAGCTGCTTTCATTGCTTCTGGGCTTCTAAATCAATATACCAGAAACAAACATATTTCTTACATGTAAATACTGTACAAAATGTGTTTTAAATAACATTATTTTTTTTTCCTGTCTACAGTTTACTTTTTTTAATCCACAGATGTAACGTAGTAAAACAAAAATGCTAGGTAAGAACCCAGAGTAAAACATATTTATACTTATATTGGCAAAATCCTGGTTGCTCAGAACACTAAAAAAGTCTTCAAAGATTTGGTTCATTATTCAATTTTGAGCAAGACCAAATTAATGTGTATAAATACTGTTAAATAATGACATCTCTGTAAAGCAATGCCAAGAGTAAGGAATAAAGTGATCGTGCTTAGATTAGGAAATAGCCCCATTGCAGCTAAAAATCTAGAAATGGTGTCATAGATCATATTCCCATCATCATCTGTCCTGGTTCATAACAAGTTGAATAATTACATTCTGGGAAGGAAGGAAGGAACTCCCCGTAATTTAAATTAAATAACATCCTGCACTTTCTGGTTTTTCATACAGATATCGCAGATGTTTGTAATGGATGAGATGATTTTTAAACAGATAAAAATCCTCTAGTCCCTAGTGGTGGGGGAGGGGCACAGAACTTCCATGGAAATTAATAGGCATGACCAAGGACTTCAGAATTAGAAAGTTTATCAATTTTATAGATCCCTTGTGGATCTTTGAATAAAATGTGCTATCTAAATCTAAGGCATGTAGGGAATTTGTATGTAGAGGATTTGGATGCAAAGTGAAAATAGAATAGTAGAATGGAGAATCAGGACCTATGAATCAGATCCTCAGATGGTGCAAATTGGTGTAATTTCATTAATGTTAGTGGTGCTATACCAGTATAGGCCCTGCAGATGCCTGTTATCTTTTATTCTGTAAAGCAGCCAATCCAACAGGTGGGCAGATAAACAAAAGTGTGAAATAAAATCTTGTCTATTCCAGGGAAATGATCTAAAAGTGCCCTACTGTAGCTAAAGTTGGCAGTTCTAATGTAATCAAAGGTCCCACGGCCACTGTTTAATAGCATGTTGTTTAGATATGCTCTGAAGGTTTAATTGACAGCGTTAAAAGCATTTGTGGCTACCGGAGTCTTGTTTGTACCAAGGCTCACAGCATTGAATGAGACATTTTTAGTAAATTTTTCTAATGTAGAAAAACCTTATGTGGACTATCTTATTCCCTGGACTACCTGAGAGGGGTTTCTGTGGAAAACTTACTCATGCAAGACAAAATCCTGCTGCTGCGGAAATCTGTAGGAGTTTTGCTATTGACATCACTGGGATGTGGATTTGACATTCATCCAAGAGCAGAATTTGTCCCTTAATACTGAAACAATTTTTGAGTGGCAGCGGAGCCAAGAAGTCATTTTACTTTGGAATCTGCAGACCGTGCTACTTACCTAATAAGATAGAACAAGCTCCAGAAAGTAGCAGGTATTGTGTTAGCTTGTGAAGCCCACAGTACAGCCACATGAGTTTTCGCTTTCTCCTTATCATCAAAAGTAGATAGAGTGTCATTTAAGAACATACGGAGAGTGACGAGCTCAGAGAGGTTGTTCCTTTTTCTGAGGTTCTCATGGAGCAGAGCCTCGGCCAGCTTCTCCCGAGCATTGTGGGCACTCTTGAACACATGGATAGGCACACCTGCAACAAGGGCTGGGAAGATTTTATCAAATGTCTTGAAGTTCTCAAGAGCATTTAGAATAAGTTCTCTCTGGGTTTCCCCCTGCGACAGGTGCCTGTCTTGGGATGAATTAAACTCTGTACCAAAAAGCGTTAAAAAGCCAGATTCAAACATCACACGACAACAGAACGCGTAAAGCCCTTCTGTTACCCAGTTGTTGGAATGCAGTTCACTTGTACTTGATTGTAGCATGACATATTGTAGGTTTTCCATCATAGCTTCAGTGAGGGAATTCAGGGCATTACCTTGTAGGGTTCTAATGAAAGTTTTATGCATATTTTCAGTGGTGTTTCCATCAATGCTGCCATGCCCAAAAGCCTGCCACCAAATAAATTGTACGTAAGGTAAGTGAGGATCATCACAACCTCCATAAGTAATATACTACAAGAGAAATCATAGCCAAGATAATATCTTCAAAATTTAACACAGGGACATATTGTAAGAACCATCAACTCGGCAAGTGATAATTGGCAACAAGCTTTTGTAAGTATTAAGTAAGCACACAAAAATAGTCTGATACTAATTTATTTATGAGCATGTATGATCACTTTGAATATATCTGCACATAAAATATCCATGACTGGCCTGGATCAGCTGACTCAGTCTCTCAGACTTTCAACTGCAGTACTATAAAACTGCAATATAGACATCTGGGCTCAGGCTGAAACCTGGGCTCTCGAACGCTCCCCTTGTGGGGGTCTCAGAGTCTGGGCTCCAACCCAAGTCTGAGGCTGCATCTAGACTGGCATGATTTTCCGGAAATGCTTTTAACGGAAAAGTTTTCCGTTAAAAGCATTTTCGGAACAGAGCGTCTTTTTGCGGAAAAGCGTCCGTGCCAATCTAGACATGCTTTTCCGCAAAAAAGCCCTGATCGCCATTTTTGCAATCGGGGCTTTTTTGCGGAAAAGAAATCTGAGCTGTCTACACTGGCCCTTTTGCGCAAAAGCTTTGTGCAAAAGGGAATTTTGCCTGAACAGGAGCAGAATAGTATTTCCGCAAGAAGCACTGATTTCTTACAGTAGGAAGTCAGTGCTTTTGCGGAAATTCAAGCGGCCAGTGTAGACAGCTGGCAAGTTTTTCAGGAAAAGCAGCTGATTTTCTGGAAAAACTGGCCAGTCTAGACACAGCCTGAATGTCTACACTACAGTTATATAGCCCCATAACCCAAGCCATGCAAGCCTGAGTCAGCTGACTTCAGCCAGCCTAGGGTGTTTTATTGTAGGATAGACATATCTTTAGGGCTTCATCCAATTCCCGTTGGGATTCTTTTCACTGACTTCAGTAAGAGTTTGACTGGGCCCTTAAATTACCAGTTTTTAAAGGGTTAGGGCCAAATTCTCCAAAGTGCTAAGCACCTCCTAAGAGGAGCTGAGTGCCCTCAACTTCCATTGACGCTCAAATGAGTGAACACACTCTGCAGCTTGTGAGATAGAGATCTTACTACATGAAATCACTGACAGAAAATGAAATTAAGCTGCAGTTGAGGTTAAAGGTAAAAAAATTACAAGGATTTTACAAGGATATCGTATTTGTACTCCAAACAAGCATTACAACCCCAGGAAAGTGAGGAAGTTTTATTAAAAATAAAACTAGACGTGTTAAGATTCACAGTTAAAGCGCCCAAGTAACCTTAGCTCTTCCATGTAGTGAAACCATGCAGTAGTCACATAAGTAGGACACTATCAAATTCATGGTCCATTTTGATCAATTGCATAGTCATAGGATTTCAAAAATAATAAATTTCATGATTTCAACTAGGGCTAGGGTGACCAGATGTCCTGATTTTATAAGGACAGTCCTGATGTCTCGGGTGTTGTCTTATATAGGCATTTATTATCCCCCACCCATCTGTTCTGATTTCTCACACTTATTATCTGATCACCCTACCCAAGGCTCCTCCCCCACTCCACCTCTTCCCATCTCCACTCTGCCTCTGCCACTGAGAGCCCTGAATCTACCTCTCACTGCTCCCTGCCCACCCTCTCCCAAGGCCCCCTGTGCCTGACTCTCACTCCTCTCTGCCCACTCCCTAAGGTGCCCCCCGGCCCTTCGCTCACTCTTTTCTGCTCCACCTGCCTTAGGGGCTAGTGACAGGAACAGAGAGGAATAAGTGGCAGGTAGGGAGCTTTGGGAGAAGAGCTGAAGTGGGTGTGAGAAGAGGCAGAATAAGGGTGGGGCCTCTAAAGGAAGAGAGGCAGCACAATTGGAGCTTCAGGGAGAAGAGGTACATATGCATGCTGCCAAGGGTGAAGAGGCTGAGTGGGAGTAGTTTCCTGGGGACAGAGCACTGGAAGGACCAGAGTCCAGGCACCAGTTCTCCCTCCCCACTCCAATATCCTCACTTTCTCAGGAGCTTTTAGCAGCAGTACTCCAAAGGTAGGCAGTCAGACTGCCTACAGACTGAGATATGCCACATTTGGCATTTCCTGCCCTGTTTGAGGCAGCTCAGTTTTCTGAAACCTCTAGTACTTGCTGCCCATGTCCATACTCCAAACCCTGCAAGCCCATATCAGCTGGCATGGACCACTCACAGATGCCCAACTGCAGTGTATGCATCGCCTGAGATATGATTAGGGCATTTTAGTGTTTGTAGTCCAAGATAAGATTATATTATATTTTATATATGTCTATTTGCATCTCAGGGTGTCACTACAGGGCAAATAAAGTGATAAATCAATAGTGGCCAGAAGTCATTACTGTTATGTTGTTTGAAGTCCTCAGTGAAGACTTCTAGAGGTGACCCCTCTACAACTGGTGAGTGAAGAACAGTGCTATGCTAATGGGGAGAAACTTTTACTGATGGCGGTCTATGCAAGACCGACTCTGTAGATATATATGCAGAATTCCAGTGTCTAGGGCTGCTTAGTCTGAGATTGTTCACATTTGTTTTTAAAATTAGTCAATTCAATATAAATTAACAATACTGCTAACCCACTTATGCTATATTTCTGCTCTTGCATTTTTGTGATATTACATGACTATTTAGTCATTTTTGGATAACCTAAATCTGTTTGCAAAACACATTATTTATATTAAGGAATAAAATCTGACACATTGGTAGATGTGAGACAGGAGACAAGCTATTTTTCAAACAGGAAGACATACTAAAAACCTCACATATTGATTAACTAGTAGGGTGGAGCTCTGCTTCTGCCCCTGGGTCCTGTGCTTCCTGATGGATTTTTAAGATGCCTCAGAGGCTCATGGTGCCCCTCCCCCTGCCTCTTGCTTCTCTCAGAGGTGGGCGATCCCCACCTCATGAGCCATTTTCATCATAGGCCAGTCACTTGCTTAGAGGGAAAAAATCTTTCACTGTCTAAAAAGTCCCTTTTTCCCTGGTGGCAGCCCACTGAGTGTGGAGAGGGTTGGGGGGAGAACTCAGTCTCATCCACGTACTCCGGGTTCCAGCCCAGGGCCCTAGATAGCAGCCACTAATGGGGCTCTTGGCCTTATCCCCATCTAATAGCAACCTCTCCTTGGGCCACTTCCCCCAACCACTCTCACAATACTGTCTCCCTGGCTTCTTGGAGAAAATCTCTCCTAATTGCAACCTACAACTTGCCTCACTCTGTACTTCTTCTTCTTCCTCCTTCTCCTCCACTCCAGTCCATCCCTCTTCTCTTTCCTACTCCTTACCTGTGGGGAAACCTTTTATAAGGGACCAGCGGGCCCTAACTGGCTGCAGGTATCCCATTAGACTGCTGCTGCAGGCCAGCTCTTAATGAGTCCTAGGTGCCTGCCTGATTCAATTTCTGGGCAGCAGTCTCTGGCAGCCTATTGAGGGAACAGGAACTTGCCCACCCAACTGTCCATATACTTGCCTTCCATCAAACTACTGTAATCTGTTGTCTTTGGTCTGCCACACTAGATACAGTCTGACTTGACCATATTGATATTTTTCTTATTAAATATTAAAATACGTTAAAATGCTAACATCATTTCATAGAGGTACCTTTGCAGAAGCAGTGAAATGAAACTTTTTCCAGTCCAAATGTCTTCCTTGGCGCATTACTGAATGGTATGAAAAAGGGTCAGTGAGAAAATGAACATATTTTCCAGCCACTTTGCAGGTGAAAATGTGCCCATATTTCTTTTGTCTTGCTTTGAGAAATTCAAGAGGGTTGGCACCAAACTGCAAAGCGCAGCCCAGATATGGAAGTAGCCCATTTTCCACTGGCGGCTCACCTGGACGCCTACAAGTTATAAGCAAATGTGATAAATCAGGGTTATAAATTAGGACCCATCCTTCACTTCAGACAGTTAAATAAGATTGTGATACCAATCTCTTTTTAACATTCAATTTCGGTTAGTATTGTAGGAAATTGCTCTCCTTTTCATAATAAATCCATGATGAGTTATATAATCTCCTAGAAAGAATGACTTTAACAGTCAACAAAAGCTTTATTAGAATCCAAAAATAACAAAAATGTATTTTTTAAGCTACATCACTCTTTTACATTTGGGTAGGTTCTTTTTCACCATTTAAAATATAATGCTCTATTTATTGGATGCAGTTAAGTAACAGTGCCTTAAATAAATACTTATCAAAGCAGTTAATATTGCCTGGCATACCCCTTTTGTTGGAGTCCATCCTGGCACTTTTCGGGACCTGTTACAGAGCATGCCCAGTGCAGGAGACTCCTCTGGACAGTCTGCCAGAGCCCTACTTTGGCAGCTTTCATGGCACGATGAAAGGGACATTTATTTGATTTATCTCTTGGTTACTAGGGTGTTTTTGTGTTTATTTTTTGTTTTTTTGTTACTTTATTTACTTTTTCCTGACAACCTGTCTGCTGATATTTCTGTCTTGCAGGTTATCTTCTGTAGGGCCCACCTCTTACAACCCATCCTGAGCTGAATACACAGAACTAGACTCTAAAAAAGACTTTTTGAACCAAATGAAAATATTCAGGAAAAGATTAACTTTTAGAGAAACTCTTCAGTTTCACAACAAGAAATTGGAACCTGAAAATTCTGTGTGAAAAAAAATCTGTGTGGAAAAAAAAAATTGAAATTCATTTTTGGGACACTAAAAGTTTATTCTGAAAATACAAAATGGTTCCTGGATGTGGATTTTGAATATGAATAGTATTTGGTTTTTACCTCTTCAGGGGAAACTCTACACAATTTTCATGGGAAAATTTAAAGACCACTTTCAAAAAATGTGTTGTGAAATTTTTTTGTTTTGTTTTACCAGCTCTTTCTTATAACATGCAAGTAGTCCCACTGGCTTCAGTGGGATTATTCAGGTAAATAAGCAATCTTCACATGAGTAAGCAGAGCTTTGCAGATTAAGGTCCAGAATGTCTGGTTTGCAATTTCTGCAAGTAAGAATCCGCACTTGCTCTCATTAAAGTCATTGGCCCAACTCCCCTTGATCTTACTGGGCATGTAACAAGGCCCTAAGCACCTGTCCCTGCTCCAGCTGAAGTCATGACAAAGGTCCTTCAATAATGCAGGTTCGGCCCATCTAGAGCCTGATCCTGGGAGTTGTTGAACACCTGATAGTTGCTTCTGTGTTCTCAATATCCCTTAGAATTGAGGATGCACAGCAATTTGGAAGAATCAGCCCCTTACTTGCTCTACCCCTTACTTGGGTCCTTAATTGCTCTGCAAATTCTAAAATAAATGACATTATCTCAAATACACATCAATTAAGAATGCATAAACCAAACTTATTATTAGCAGTTCCAATGCACAGAAAGGAGGATTTGAAGATGGCTGAACAAGCATCATGTGGATCTCAAGACACATGAAGATGGGATTATTTTATTTCGTTGGTTGGTCTTTGGGTTGTACAACTCTGTAGCACACTGAACACTGAGTCATTTGACCCCAGCAATGAAAGAGTATTACAGTATTATTGTTGGCATGCTTCACTTGAGTCTGGCCCTGCATCACTAAAATCAATAGCAGTTTTGCCCTCAGGCCCCAGTCCAGCAAAGCATATTAAGCATATGTTCAAGTGCTTTGTGGAACTGGGATCCAAATAACTATATTCCTGTATAGGGATACCTACAGTGCATCACAAATAACTTTTACATAATACATATTATAAAGTTTAAAATCAGAAGGGATCACCAGAGTGCTGTGGAAGGGCTGTCTGCCTCTTTAAATATCTGCAGACCCAGGCTTAAGGAGAAGACCAGCAAGCAGCCATTAGGAACCAGCTAACCTAATGAGTGGCTCTCGTTCCCAGCTGGATCAGCTGGTTCCCAAAAGCTGTCTGCTGGTCTTCTAAAGCCCCAAACTGGCCTGCTGCTCCATAGCTTTGCAAGCCCATAAAAGGGGCAGATCATCCTCTTACGATCACCTCCTGATCTAACCTATATAGCACATGCAACACAGCCACCCAGTGTCTGCATGCTGCAAAAGAAGGTGAAAAACCCTACAGTGACTACCAATCTCACTAGGCCGTGTCCAGACTCAGGGGTTCTTTCGAAAAAAGTAGCCTTTTTTCGAAAGAACTTCCCCTGCATCCAGACTCAAGCCGCGTTCTTTCGAAATTATTTCGAAAGAACGCGGCTTTTCTTTCGATGGCGGTAAACCTCAATTTACGAGGAAGAACGCCTTCTTTCGAAAGTTCCTCTTTCGAAAGAAGGCGTTCTTCAATGTAAAGAGGCCGTCTTCGAAAGAGAGCATCCAGACTCGCTGTGTGCTCTCTTTTGAAAAAGCGGATTTCTCTTTCGAAAGACCCGCCTGCAGTCTAGACGCGATCTTTCGAAAGAGGCTCTTTCGAAAGAGCCTCTTTCAATTCCCTCCTGAGCCCATATATGGCTTATAATATGGTCACAAAAAATAATACGCACCGAGTCCTTTATTTTCTATTCTTTCTTATTCTTTTAAAGATTTAAATAAAAACAGAATCCTGGAACTACAATGCAGAACAAATATAATACAGTAAACAGATGTGTGAATTTGTTTCTGTAAATGTGGCACTCCAAATTGGATGAAGACTTAAGAGTATCTACTCGATACAATAAACAAGCCAAATGTTGCCTAGATTAAAGCTACTACACTGATAAAAAAAAGAAAATGAAAAAGGATAAGGGATAAAATAGTCATCTATACATCAAAAGCACATACATATATGACCTGATTACTCAGAAGTATGGAGCACCTGCAAATAGTATTGACTTCAATAGAAACTATACTTGCTAAGCACTTCTGAAAATCAGATCCCTAACATCCCAAATGACTATAGTTATGATCTCATTTATGGCTGGATTCATATTTTTTCTCTCTATCCATTGTTAGCCTCTGTCTACAGAAGAACAAGAATATAGATCGAATGGCCTGTTTATTTTTTACATACACAAAAAAGTCATTATACTATAAATCTTGCTCTCAAAAAACCCACCAACATAACCATTGTTATCCTTCATTTTTCAGTCTGCCAATGTTCAGACTAGTTTTATCTTAGGCTATGTTTAGGCTGCACTGTGATCAAAAAATTTCAAAAGAGGCTATTTTGAAATTTGGTGCATCTACTGAGTGCCAAATTTTGAAATAAAGTGCTCTTTTGAGCCTTCCCATATTCCTCATAGAACGAAGTTTGCAGGGATGGCAAAAGAGCCATTTTTCCGAAATAGCAAACATGTTCCTTAGATGCGGCATTGCTATTTTGGGATACTTCCGGTATCCCAACATAGCAATGCAGTCTAGACATAGCCAAGTTACATACACAAGACATTTTAACAGAAATGAGGGCTAGACTACATTCAAAAAGGATACGTCATACCTTCTTTTTATCAGAATAATCTGATAATAGTGTTACCAACTATTCCACAGATCAATGCTGCTGCTAATATTTAAGGCAATGTGCATGAAATTTCAGGAGTTTTAAGTGGAAAGGAGTAACTAACTGTGTGGTACACTTAAAAAAAACAGATTTATATAAAAGGCAAGTCAAAGAGACACTTTTTATAGTAAATTTGTTCATGATTTTTTGTATGGAGCACCTGCCCATAGGATATAAACTTGAGAGTATTTACTCACTACCTGAACAAGCCAAATGTTAACTAGCATTAAAAACAGGAGTTTGATATGGCTACAATACAGATTAAACCACAGAAAAGAAAATGAAAATGGTAAAAGTGTCAGAACAGTCATTTCTATATGTACAAATACTGAGCAACTGCAAATGCTGTTGATTTCAAAATCAGGCCCTTATTGTTCCAAATTACGATTATAGCCTCACTGTATATGGATTACTCCTTTCTTTGTATTTCTGTCTCCTGTTCATCATGAATATGGATCTGCATAGTCTTCTTGGGTTTTTTTTAATTTATGTACACAAAAATGCTATTATGATATACACATTTCAAAGTACAAAACACCAATTATTATAATTTATTTATTAATCGGCCAATGTTTAGACTAATTTTGTCTCAGCTATATACACAATATCTTTTTATAGAAATGAGAGTCGAAATATGATTAAAAGATACCTTACCTCCTTCTTATTACCAGAATAAACCAAAACCAACAGCATAGTATCACCACTACTCCCCAGATCAAAGCTGCTGCTAACATTTCAGGCAACTACAGTGAAATTTCGAGTAAAAAAGACTAGCTTGGTATACTTTGAGGACTGAGAGGGATACAAATGATAAATCAAATGCCACTTTTTATATAGATCAGGGGCATCACTATAGTTAATTGAACTTAAATAACCTATGCAAGCTATTAATTAACCATTTCTGGACAGACGCTATTATGTCTTCACTCTGATATCTCTGTAAAAAAAAACTTGAGAGGATTAATCTAGACAGTAGCAGAGATGGCCTTGAGCTGGTATCAGGAGAGGTTCCAAAGTAATCAAAGTTGATAATTTGAAGGTCTCTCAGGTGTGTTTTGATCTATCGTGTAGATTTACTGACTGCAGTTTATAGTTCAAGTTTAGCAACACATGAGATGACTAGCCAACATACATACAGTGGTAGTTGGTGCCCCAAGTACTTACCATAATCCCCTGACTCTCCTGACACTGCACCCTGCCACACCTCATGATCTCCCTACAGACTGACTACACTTTCAAAGTACTCAAAGGAATATTTTGGCTGGGAATGAGAGATTAATAGGAACAAAAAGATTGTTTTCCCTCTCCAACCATCTATCACTGTCAATATGAAAAGCATGGACACAGTTGTTGCAGCAGAAGGCAGGAGTAGGAGAAAAGAACATTAGTCAATTTTGCTGTTTTTGACTAGTCCTCCCTCCTGATATATCTTCCCTCAGGGTATGTCTACACTACCCCCCTAGTTCGAACTAGGGGGATAATGTATGCATACCGAACTTGCTAATGAAGCCCGGGATTTGAATTTCCCGGGCTTCATTAGCATAAAGCCGGCGCCGCCATTTTTAAAAGCCGGCTAGTGCGAACCCCGTGCCGCGCGGCTACACGCTACTCACCTATGTTCAGTTCTTCTGACCCATTTCCCTTTCAGAAACTTTAACCCCATCAGATTCTCTATCTGTCTTAACTCATCTCTGCTCAGAAATCTCCTTCAGCCTGATCCCACCATATTCCAGATTTTCTTTCCTATTAGCGCAAAATCTAGATCTCATCCTTTCCTATTCATCTTGCATGTAGCTCTGAAACCCCTCCTCCACTGACCTCACTCTTACCCTCTGATTCAAAAGCCAAGGGCCTGTTCACCTAGGCTCTCAGGCTGAGAATCTTTTCCGGGGTTATCTCATTCACTATACTCTCAGAACTTCTGGAGCCTAGAAACATCCTCTCATCTCACCTGACTATTCCTCTCTCCTCCTTACCACCCTGTACCTCTCTATCCTCACACACACATTGTTAGGACCCTGCATGGCATTTGATTCTCTCTGGTTCACTAGCACCATCCTGGATAAAAATAGGTGGGAGTGGCTTTCTGGGTAGAGGTGACTAGGATCTGTGACAGAGAGGTTCTGGAAACAATTCCTGTCTTGCTGCATCATTACAGGTTGAACCTCTCTAGTCCAGCACCCTCTGGTCCAGTATGATTTTAGTTAATTGGGTGTCAACTTATCATCTTTGACAGGATAACAAGTCTTGTAAATAAGGGAGGAGTGGTGGGCATGGTATACGTAGACTTCAGTAAAGTATTTGAAATGGTCTCGCATGACCTTCTTTTCAATAAATTAGGAAAATACAACCTAGAGGGGGTTACTATAAGGTGGGTGCATAACTGGCTGGATAATCATTCTTAGAGAGTAACTTAAAAAACAAGAAATAGTTTTGCAGCACCTAAAAGACTAAGAAAACATGTAGATAGTATCATAAGCTTTAATGGCACAACCCACTTATTAATAATTCAGTCATGATGGATGGGCAAACAAGTGGGATTCCACAGGGGTCAGTTTTGAGACCAGTTCTGTTCAATATCTTCATCAACAGTTTAGATATTGATATAGAGAGTAAGCTTATCAAGTGTGCAGATGATACCAAGCTGGGAGAGGTTGCAAGTGCTTTGGAGGATAGGGTCATTAATCAAAATGATCTGGACAAAATGGACAAATGATAAATAGGATGAAGTTTAATAAGGACAAATGCAAAGTACTCCACTTAGGAAGGAACAATCAGTTTCACACATACAGAGTGGGAAGTGACTGTCTAGGAAGGAGTATGGCAGAAAGGGATCTAGGGGTCATAGTGGACCACAAGTTAAATATGAGTCAACAGTGTGATGTTGTTGTGAAAAAAGCAAACATAATTCTGGGACGCATTAACAGGAGTGTTGTGAGAAAGACACAAGAAGTCATTCTTCCGCTCTACTTTGTGCTGATTAGGCCTCGGTTGGAGTACTGTGTGCAGTTCTGGGCACCACATTTTAAGAAAGATATAGAGAAATTGGAGAAGGTCCAGAAAAGAGCAACAAAATGATTAAAGGTCTAGGAAACATGAAAAGAATTGGGTTTGTTTTGTTTAGAAAAGAGAAGACTGATGGACATGATAGCAGTTTTCAGGTACCTGAAAGGATGTTATAAGGAGGTGGAAGAAAAATTGTTCTCCTTGGCCTCCAGTGATAGGATAAGAAGCAATGGGCTTAAACTGCAGCAAGGGAGGTTTAGGTTGGACATTAGGAAAAATTTCCTTAACTGTCAGGTTAAACACTGAAATAAATTGCCTAGTGGGGTTATGGAATCTCCATCACTGGAGAGATTTAAAAGCAGGTTAGATAGACATCTGTCAATGATGCTAGATGGTACTGGGTCCTGCTGTGAGAGCAGGAGACTGGACTTGATGACTTCTCAAGGTCCCTTCCAGTTCTAGTGTTCTATCATTCTATGATTCTATGGTCATGTTTCCCATGGTCCCATAAATCATAGAATCATAGAACACTAGAACTAGAAGGGACCTCAAGAGGTCAAGCCAGTCTCTTGTTTTCACGGCAGGACCCAGTACTTTCTGATCATCCCTGATAGATGTCTATCTAACCTGCTCTTAAATATCTCCAGAGATGGAGATTCCACAACCTCACTGGGCAATTATTCCAGTGTTTAACCACCCTGACAGTTACAAAATTTTTCCTAATGTCCAAGTTAAACCTCTCTTGCTGCAGTTTAAGCCCGTAGTTTGTTTATAGCCACCAGTCCTGGCTCTCAGTGTTCTGTGCTGTTATTTAGCTCTAATTTGCCACTAAATGTCTTCTAAGGACCCAGTTGACAGTGGAAGTGTTGGCAACGCTGTTAAACAAATTGACCACCTGTGGTTCAGCACATTCCCTGGTTTGGCACTGGTCAGGTCCCAAGGGTTTCAGATTAGAAAGGTTCATCCTGTATTATTATCATGACTCCCAATAAAAGAAAAACCCATGGAGAAGGGTCAGTTTGAACACTAACCTTGTGTGTGTGTGTGTGTGTGTTCTGATATCAGGGTATTCCCTCTACTTAGAGGGGGGTAAGGACCCAGACTATTCATTCATTCATTCCTCTATGGTAGAATTTAAGAGCTTAACCTCAAGAAATGGAAATTCCATCTGCTGTTAAATGGAATTCCATTGGAAAAGGGCTACTTGATTCTATAACATCTGCTTTTTCTTGTTAATTGTCTGATTTCCAAATCTATACATTACAACAGTGTTTCTCAACCTTTTTTTTTTACAAAGTACCCCTTCAAAATAATATTATAACTACCCCCAGTACCTACAGTTTTCAGACACACAACATTTTTTCTGCCATTGCAACACATTTGTTTAAACAACTTAATCGTAGCCGGGTGGGTGATTAAATTTTTGGGTGTAAAAACTACAAAAATAATAAAGCACTGTAAAACTTACAACAAAAATTCAGTTTTTTTTCAAATTTCAGTAGTGTTGACATACCCCCCAGACTTCTCTCGCGTACCCCTAAGGGTACTCATACCACTGGTCGAGAAACATTGCATTACAAGACTAAAGGTAGCGTAGTTTAGCCCACTGATGACTCTCTCTAATCCAGAAAAATGAGTGGCTTTAATATTGCTATGATAATATAAATGTAATCAATAAAAATTAAGCTTTGTTTGTGTTTCAGATTCTTGAGAATAGAAGTTTAAAACTTAGCGTCCCACCAATATCAGCAGTATCAGCAATGGCACTTGGATGATTCAGAAGATTCAGATAGTAGGTGATATCTCACCAGTCATTTGGGACCTGGCTTCTTTTATAGATACACCTTTTTGCTTATTTCTTCTGCATTACAGTAGTCCTTATATGAACATGAAATTGGGCACAGGGGAGCATTTACCCCAATTCACTATAGTGATTGTCATTAAAGTGCCAACATTCTTTCCAGTAGTTCTCAAGCTTTACTATCTGAGACACAACAGTATTTACCACTACTTAGAATGTGTTGAGAAATAGCCCTGGCACTAAAATGTTTTATAGCAATTATCTGGTTTTTTTCTTCTAAATAATGGAAAGGGAAATTCTTGACATGCACTTGCAAGTTACGGTTTAAAGGTACATGTGTCGAATAATTTTGTGAATGTAAGCAAATATATACATACTTTCAAACTCCTGACATTTTGCTAGAGGGCAGCACAGTTGTGGTAGCTATCTACAGTATTATTGTTTTCCTTATGTGGACTGCAAAATTTGGACCTGAAGCAAAACTCCTTGCGCCAAATTCCAGTCAGGTGGTGGAGATGCAAATAGCTCTTACAAAATGTTATTATATTTGAGGCCATTTTAAATTTTAACAAAGAAAAAATTCCTTAATAACCTTTTATGGTTTCCCTCTCTGTGTCTGTAGGCTATCTTCTTCTGCATGTCAGCTGAGAATTCAATTTCACATCCTCCTTCCCTTTTTTGACTTCCCTAAAAGACTGCCCCTTTGTAACTAGGCTACTCGTTATATCCTCTTCTGGCCACGGCTTTGTATGACTCATACAAAGTTTCTTACTCCCTCCCTACCAAGCTGGTAGTTTCCATTATGGGAAATTTGCACATTGAGCAACAAGATCAAACCTTTTCAGTTCTAGATGTCACATTATGGCAAACAATACCTCCCCTCTTCCCATGTATAGATCCTGGTCTTTTGTTTAGCAAATATTTTTCAATAAATAGGGGGTGTGTTTGAAAAAATTGCTGCCTCCTATGAGATGGAAAATCATGTAGAAGTAACATATAACAGACATCCACCTATTTTAAGATCATTAGCTCATGACACATAACAGTACAGAATGGGGTCTGCAAACTCAAGCCAAACCTCCTTCAGTACCAAACCCCACTGCCTGTGAGCCCAAGCTCCTCCCATATTTCAAAAGTTCAATGGCAATTCTGACACTGGATTTTGCGGGTTCCTAAATCTGTTTCTGATCTTATTTCTACAATGTCCATAGTTGTGCCCCAGTGACCAAAGCTGAGCTGTAGTGATTATCAACCTGCTTACCAGGGAGGCCTGGCTTTGGTGTCTCCATTCCTGGAAAAGTCAAGCCCATTCTGGGACAATTTGAGGACATTTGAGGACAATTATGGCAGAGATCTTCAATGATCCGAAACATGAGCATAT